GAGTCTGCTTCTCCCTCTGACCCTCCTCCCTCTTATGCTGTCTCTCATTCTCTCTCTCTCAAATAAATAAAATCTTTAAAAAAAAAAAAAAAAAAAACTGGACAGCAATATGCCAAAGAATGAAACTGGATCACTTTCTTACACCATACACAAAAATAAACTCAAAACGGCCTAAAGACCCAACTGTGAGACCTGAAACCATACAACTCCTAGAAGAAAACATAGGCAATAATGTCTTTGGCATCAGCTGTAGAAACGTTTTTCTAGTTATGTCTCCTGAGGCAAGGCAAACAAAAGCAAAAATAAACTACTGGGACTACCCCAAAATAAAAAACTTTTGCATAGCAAAGGAAACAATCAACAAAACAAAAAGGCAACAAACTGAATGGGAGAAGATATCTGCAAATGATACATCCAATAAGGGATTAATATCCAAAAATACATGAACTCAGCATCAATAAAAACCAAATAATCTGATTAAAACGGGCAGAGGGGGGCACCTGGGTGGCTCAGTCATTAACCGTCTGCCTTCAGCTCAGGTCATGATCCCAGGGTCCTGGGATTGAGCCCCACATCGGGCTGCTTGCTCATTGGGGAGCCTGCTTCTCCCTCTCCCACTCCCCCTGCTTGTGTTCCCTCTCTCGCTGTGTCTCTGTCAAATAAATAAAATCTTTAAAAAAAAAAATAAAAAATAAAATGGGCAGAGGACCTGATAGACTTTTTCTCCCAAGAAGACAAACAGATGGCCGACAGACACATGAAAAGTGCTCAACATGACTTATCATCAGGGACATGCAAATCAAAACCACAATGAGATATCACCTTACACCTGCCAGAATGGCAAAAACGAAAAAGAAATAATAAAAAGACAAAATAACAACAATAACAACAAAAAAAACCCCAAAGACAAGAAATTGGTAAAGATGTGGGGAAAAAGGAACCCTCAGGCACTATTGGATAGAATGCAAACTGGTGCAGCCACTGTGGAAAACAGTATGGAGGTTCCTCAAAAAATTAAAAAGAGGCCATATGATCCAGTCATTCCTCTACTGGCTATTCGCTCAAAGAAAACAAGAACACTAATTCGAAAAGATATATGCATCCCTATGTTTATTGCAGCATTATTGACAATAGCCAAGATATGGAAGCAACCCAAGTGTCCAATGACAGATGAATGGGTAAAGAAGATGTGATATATACGGAATAATATTACTCAGCCACAAAAAAGAATGAGATCTGGCCATTTGCAACAACATGAATGGACCTAGAAGGCATTATGCTAGTCATATAAGTCTATCTGAGTCAAGTAAGTCAGAGAAAGACAAATACCATATGATTTCACTCATATATGTAATTTAAGAAATAAAACAAATGAATAAAGGAAAAAGAAGACAAAAACCAGACTCTTAAATACAGAGAACAAGCTTGTTTGTGGTTGCTCAAGGGGACGTGGATGGGGGGATAGGTAAAATAAAGGGGATTAAGAAGTGCAAACTTCCAGTTATAAAACAAGTCACAAAAATGAAAAGTTCAGCAAAGAAAATATAGTCAATAAGATTGTAATAATGTTGTTTGATGACAAACGGTGACTATACTTGTCATATGAGTAATGAGTAATGTACAGACTTGTGGAATCATTATGTCATACGCCTGAAACTAATATAACATTGTATGTTAATTATACTACAACTAAAAAAAATGAGTGGCAGGGTCACTGGGGAAACTACTTTGTAAAGTTCTTTTTACAGTCCAAAAAGGTGACAAGATATCACATTTAGCACAGTACTTTGATGAGCATAGTAAAAACTCAGAAGATGCTGGATTCTGAAATTAAAGCCAGCGGATCTAAACAAAGAATTTTTGTAAGTATTTGAAGGTGAAAGCAGACTTTTAATTGGATTATTTTGCTATTAAATACTTACAATTAGGTTCAGCATCAATACAGTGTATTTCCCTGCAACACACACACTTTACGCCTTGTTTTCCATTAAGCATAGCATTAATACATTATCTACTCCTTTCCTATCATTGCAATAACACATACCAAGGTATTTATTTACCCACCACTTTAAGTACATGAGGTATTCTTGATTGTTTTAATAGTCCCTCAAGCCAGAAAGGAATGGAATCATTTCCTTCTGAAAGTGGAGTTTAGCTGCAACTGGGAAACCAGTGGGTGGGTTGCAAGGGAGTGTGCTTAGATGTCCCTACAGCTGGGACGCGGAGGGGTGGGAACCATTCTTGGCTCCCACTGGATTCCCTAGGACCTGACACCACTGCCAAGCTTTACAGGCAAATGCTCTGCCAAGTCAAAGGTCTATTCTTATTCTGGACACTTCATCAGAATTTAAAAAGACTTCCTTTTCTTAAAGACCCATTTAACACTTTTCCACATTTTTCCTCTTCACAACTTGAACAGAGGATGCAAAGCTCTACTGTTCTGGCAAACCCAAAATCAAAACCTTACAAAAAAGGCACCTGGATGTCCTTGCAGACGCTTAACTGCCTGGAAGGGAACGTCCTTCCCCCTTCTTTGCCAGCTAATACTTAGTTAGGCTTCAAGTTTTGGCTCACTACCAAGTAGTGGCCCTGCCAATATCCCCTGGAGGCCTTCCACACGTCTCTGCAGAGTGAGGCAGCCACCTGCCCTCCTATCTCGCTCAGCACCTGTTCACACAAACCTCCCACCGGAGCACTTAGGCACTGCCAAACAATTGTTCCCATCCAGAATAATGGCTTGCTCCTGTCACTCTAACTTCAGGGGGCAGTGGACTATTCTTAAAGCTGCCTGCTTACAATGTGCCAAACAATGAAATGACAGATCATTCGGTAGGCACAACCTTACAGGTAAATACTATTATTCCCTTTTTAGAAATGAAGAAGCTATGACTCAGGGAGCTAGACGCCTTTCCAAGCACCTACACTTAGGAAAAGGTATGTGGAATTGAACTATATGGCTCACTCAAAAGCCTCTGCTACGATCCACCACCTCTCCCTGGGCTGTCTCCTACCTTTCTCTCTGGGTCTCCAGAGCCCAGCACGGTACCAGGCACAAATCAGGAGCCCAGAACTGGCTGCATAAAGGTGACCTCATTTATTACTGCTGTATTTCTATGCTGTGTATATCCAAACATCTTATCAAATGAGCTGCTCTGAGCTGACCTTCAGCTCTTAAGAGTCAGCAGAACTGGACTAGCCTGACCCCTAACTTCACCCTCCAGCACAGGGCTCCAGTCTCTTAAACCTTTTTGATGCATATGTACAGAAAATTCCAAG